CTTCATGCGCTCAGTTAGCATGTGAGCTTTCCGATCTTATAAGAGCGAAGTCAAAGGTGGCTGGTGACAATCCTTCCAACAGATCGAGTAGAAATGCCCCACTTCAAGAGCAATTTTTCTCTCGGACCTACGAGGGTGGCGGCGGATTTTCTCTCGAATGATTTTCACGATCTCCTTTGTCGTTGCACTCTTCGGTCTTCCACTTCTAGGCTTGTCCTCCATAGTTCCTGTCGCCTTGTACCTGTTGACGTTGTTGTACACGGTTCTTAAGGGAATCTGGAGCTGCTTGGAGATGGTCTTTGCAGTGCATCCAGCCAGATGGAGGTGCAGGATGGAGGCTCGTTGGTCTTTGCTTGTCACCATTCTGTAAAATGGCATATTTAAGAACGGCCAATTCATGGAATGTATAGAAGAAGACTTGCAGTAAATAGTGGCACAGATCCTGTCGAGATCGAAGGCCTCATTTCTTATGGAGGACCTGAAACGGGATTTTGCCAGATCTTTTGCCGCACCCTGTATATGTTTGCTCCTCGGCTGGCACATGACAAGCTATGCGGCGATTCGACGTCGTTCTAAAGCGAATTGTATCTTTCGAACCTCCAGAATCAACGGATCAGGATTGGGTTTGTCTTCTATGATAGAAATACTGCCATAGCGCCTTGTATTTGTAAAATATCATTGCCTCCTCTCTGATCTCGAACAGAGCCGGGAGCATGGCTTATTTCGATGGAACAGCTAATGCCAAACACCATGCCAAGAGTTCTTCATTTAAGAATTTTTGTGATTTGGAAGTTTTGATTCGAAACTTCGAAAATTACCCGCGCACATTTTATCAATTGCCAGCCCATTTCCACGCACACATTTGATGGTCCAAGAGGCAGCAGCCTCTTCATTGGGTAGGTCCATAATTTCTGATAAACTGTGTTTGAATTCAATTCTTTAAAATTAGTTCTGTGATTTATTGATTTAAAGAAAATACATATTCAATATAAATAACTCTTTGTCTACGCACGGAAGACAGTCACTGTCATTTTTTCCAAAATTCGATGATCTTCTGATCGATGAAAGAAGGGATGTCAACATGGAGATTATGTTGATTAGCCTAAGATTTATCTCTGAAGAAGTTAGTGCAGGGAGGCACTTCATTCGTTCGTAACAGGTCATGGCTATGTAGCCAATGCAAAAGAACTGTTGCCTGAGAATTTCCCGATTCTCCCAAAACAATTTCGAATTGTGTGGTTGAACAGTACCAGGAAAAGAGTTAACTTCGTGCTGTTCACATTCCATCTTGAAAGAATTGCGAGAAGCTCACGGTTGACTTCATCCTTCACTGTGAATTTGCAATTCAGAAGTGCCAGTGCACAACTCTCTTCTCATCTTTCCGCCAAAAATTTAACAGGACCTGGCTAGGACTACGTTGAACTTTTGCAGAACTCTGGCATCGTTGAAGCTGACCATTGCAGCTTGCGGCATCATACTGGCAGCCACATTGGGCACCCGTCAAGGGAAAGACGGCGAAATTGCAGAAAAATGGGGATGTCACATCGCAAAATCTAGAGACACACTCCGGGATTAGGCACGCTCACCTGTTCCATTCTCGAGTGTAGAAGACAGGCGGACAAGCGTTAATGT